GTTCCTGTTTAGTTATATCCAGAGTCAACAAATATAGTTATGAGAAATCTTTTCCATTGTAGACTCATGCCAATGCACTTTGTTTACACCATTGTTCAAGGCCAAATAATTCTAGATTTTTTTAATATTTATTAATACTGTAATTTCTTCTTTTGCAACTAGATGTCCTTGTACACTCGTATCTGATTTCAGAAAATTTTTGCAAGGTCTTTCTTTTAAAGTTCTTTATAAATTATTTATCCTTACAATTATATCTAGAAAGTTTTCATTTCTGTAAATTAGATAGTCAGTCCTCTGAATCAATCTGAATTCAATTTTTAAGAGTTATTTTAAATATCTTCCCCTTTTGTAGTTGCTCGCCGCTTTTAAATCTCAATCCTTCTGGGGGTCTTTGTTCTTTAGCTCTTCCCCATCAGGGGGTCAACAACTTGTAATCCACAAGGAAAAGGAAAAAAAAAACACACTGACTCACCCAGTTTCAGCATGCTGTTGACAATCAACTGTTTAGCGGAGCACCGGGACTCCTCGCTTTCCTTCTGGCTGGAGATGATTTGGGCTGCCTTGGATCATCTGGCAGCCTTTCCTCCATCCTTTCAGAGGATTTCTTCAGTCTGCTCCAATCGGCTGCCACCTGATCCGAGCTCCTGGAGTGTCCCTCCTTCTTCGTTGCTCTTCCAGGGCAACTTTCTGACCCTTTTAGGGTCGCTGGGGAAAGTGAAATCAGGCTGAGAAGTCGGAGCCCTGGCTTCTTTCACCCGTCTCATCGGCTGCCACAAACTGGAAGTCCCACTTTAGACAATTCTAAATCTGTCTGATTAAGCTCAGGATCAGGAGTTCAGATTTAATGCATCCTTATCAATTATTGGCTCACTAACTGTCAGTGCTGGGAGGAGTAAGGGCTGCAACTTATATTGAATCCTATGCAGTAACAAAAGACTTTCAGTTTTGGATCCTTTCAGCTATCTCAAGATTTATTTGCCCTGAAAAGTTATTTTACTTTGTGCTTCTGAATATTAAAGAAGATGAAGCTGGGCTTCTATGAATTGATTGCTGAAAAAGAAAATGGCACTATATTTTTTACAGCCTTTAAAAAAACTGTGGTGAAAAATTGAAGAGGAATATTTTAAGTATATGCCTTGCCTGGCATAGCACATTTCCTGGTCCAGAGCTGAGTAGGGATGATGGGATTTGTAGTCCAGAATATGAGAGGGCACTTGGGTAAGGAAATGTAACATTTATATTCCTTATCAGCAGCAAGACCAAAAACTATTTTCAAACATAATATTTAAATAATATTTTGTCCTACATACTGAATGCTAAAAGCATGAATGTCTCTTCGATTTAAAAACAAGCTTGATTAATTTCTAGATTGCCTGAACAGGGTTGATACTAAACAAATATTAGCCAGAATAGTAATCTTAGCAGTGCATAAGGTGATGTGCAAAGACAGGCAACACGTATAAATTTCACCCTAATGCTGGTGTTGCGACTTCAGTCCTATGCATATTTATTTAGAAGTCAAATACATCAAATTCTGTGGACTTTATTCCTAATTTTCCGTAGGATTACATCTAAAGCCTCTCACTGATGCTTCCTGTAAAGGCAGTAATTGCCGAAGTGTATTTCTACTTCTGTCACACAAGAGGGAGTGTTGGTAAAGCAATGTTGAAAAGAAACAGCCACTGTTTACAACATGTATGAGAGTTAAACTAAATGCTACCAGAGACCTTTCATCACTTGTACTTAAGCATAGCACACATGCTCTGGCAACCACCTTTTTTCTGCTGTAGCTCCACAACATTACCTCCAACTTATTATTGACACAGGTTTAAGTCATCCTTGGATATACAGGTGTTAAAAGTTGAATTTTTCCCTTTATTCTAAAACTGTGCAAGCCATGTTCAAGATGTACAAAATCTACTAGACTTTGTTGTCTTGGAAGGAAGAAACTTAAGAAACTACACTTACTTAAACCCAGTAGGGACAGGATACAGACCAGGAGTCACTATAGCAAATTTGATACTGGTCTAGTTTTGTTTCTCAAAAATGCCTAGATAGCACTTCAAAGCCAGCAGTAGGGAAAGGGTTTGCTGGAAATATAGAAGCTGAAAGCCGACACATCTGGAAGCCAGAGTACGGGAAGGCTGTGTTAACAGCAGGGCTGCATAGCAAATGAGCTAGAATTCCTTAGCATCAGGACAGTGGGGGTAGGAGGGAGAAATTCATTTGTTCCCTTTCTGCTGCAATTCAGGTGAAAATTTCTTCCAAAGTTGCAGTTTATATTTCAAGGGAAGTTTCTGCTGATGTCAACTGTGGGTTTATCTGAAACATAAACAGCAACATCAGAGAATCAACAGAATGGAAAACAGTTACAGAAAGTGCCGGTGTCCCTTTTCAGCTCATAGACAGGCAACTTTGGAAACACTTTTTTGTGTGTGAAAGGATTAAAAAAACAAATAAATAACATCAACAAAATTTTAAAAACAATTAAAAGGACACAAGAGTTCACATGACAAAACAGATCTTATAAGACTGGACTATTTTGTGAAATTTCTGCTATTTTAATTTTGTATAAAGGGGTTGCAAGTGCCATAGCATATGCCAGGGGTTCTTGAGAACCCCTGGCATAAGCCCTGAATTTAAAGTATTTCTCTTCACTCCATGCTTGTGGCAGTTCAGGCTGCGTTATAATCTCCATTTACATAACAAAGAATATGCCTATTAATTGTGCTCATTACAAATCACGATCTCTTGTTTGTCCCAAATACCAGGTAAACACCCTTGCATCAGAAACAGGAATCCTCTCTGATGCTAAACTATGTTGGAGAAAAAGTCAAGTCCAGCTGAGCTAAGGGAAAGACAGACATAGATGCAAGGAAAGATGCAAGCAAACTACCAGTGTTGGTTTGCAGCTGTTACACTAGGCCTGGTAGAGTTGTGGTGGTGAAGACTCTTTCTTCTTGCATCACTAACACTACCAGAATAGTGAGTCAGGAGATGACCAGATAAAACCACAGGTGGGCAAATAAGGCTATAAAATAAATAGATAAGATGCACAACTGGAAGCTATGTGTGACTCCCAAAGACCTTGGACGCTGGCTGCTTGACCACTTTCCAGAATGCCAGCAACTTATACATAACCCTGTTCCTAGTCTTGTTACGTCTGCAGGAGAACGATTGGGTGACTTTACAAGATGCTGGGGGGAGGGGGGGGCTTGTGAGATGGCATTTTAGTGCAGTGATATATGTAGGCATTTGTATTATCAGCTAAATGGAAATTTCATTTTTTTCCTACATGGAAATTTTTCTTGACTGGAGCAGTGAAAACAAAATTATTGGAGTTCTCTTCCCTCCACTTTCTCCTACCTGCTGAGAAAGGACAGAATATTTTTCTCAAATTTCAAATTGCTACCACCAGGTTGTGCTACAACCCTTAGTGAGAGCTCTGTCCTTTTTCTTCCACTCAAATGCCTAGTGCAAACTGCTTTCTAATGATATTTTCTTTGCATACACCAGCAATCTTGCCCACCCACTCTTAACAAACCTTCCCAATTTTCTTCAAGTACTAGTTTTCTTGGCTGAAGCTGAAACATGTGAAAGTTATTTATTTCCAGGATTTATTTATTTTTTAAAAATAACAATTTTGGCAAATAAAATAATTTTTGGGAGTGAAAAATTGCTTATGGCGTTGCAAAACCAAAGATGGCTTTGGAGAATCTAGTAAGTGGGAAAAAAAGGAAATGATGATTGTCATATTTTTGGCCAAAATATATTAGGAGATTTATTTGTATTCACAAAGAAGAATAAAAGTTTTGTTTGGGTCCTTCTCAGAATAAAGCTGTTCCTTGAGACAGTGCAACAACATAGTCCCACCCAGCTCCCTTGAGTTCTTTATATCTTTTCTGATGCCAAAAATGAGGGAGGGGGATCAATAGAGTGAGTTTCCCCCCATATAGTTGTAAAATCAGAAAAAGAAATATGAAGGAGTCCCATCAGAATTCAATCAGTGTGGTCTAGTTGTTAAAATTTGGCCTGGAATAACCAAGTTCAAGTCTGCATTTGACCTCAGAGTGAGTTTGGGATAGTCACTCTCAACCAACCCATATCAAGGGGCTAAGGATATGGGGATAAAATTAGGAGAGGATGGCCATCCATGCCATTTGGGAGTTTTCAGAAAAAACAGGGATCTAAAAGTGATTTAACTTCCAGTCCCTTTCCTTTTCCATTACAATATTTGTTTTTCTAGAGCCATGATGGTGAACCTATGGCACGCATGCCACAGGTGGCATGCAGAATCCTCTGTGGGCATGAGCGCCATCGCCTCTATCCTAGGCCTTCAGCTGGATTTTATAAAATCTTTTCAGTTTAGGCCTCCACCGTTGTGTGCAAAAAAAAAAGGTTCAATAAATCAATTTCAACTACTCGCAAAAAAAAAAAATCTCGCAAAGTTGGAATTGAATGATTGAACTTTTTAGTCCCACCCAGTCTGCCATTACCACCATAAGTCTTGCTCACCCAATGGGCCACATCCACCCAATGGGCCCTGGCCACCCAATGGGCCACACCTACCCAATGGGCCACGCCTACCCGGCACCCCACGATACATAAGTGGGTTTTGGGTTGCAGTTTGGGCACTCCAGTCTCTAAAAGGTTCGTCATCACTGTTCTAGAGCAAGTATCATTAATGGGGGGGGGGAGAAGCATGCTACTCTAGGAACACATCTGTGATTGATCTGATTAATTTTACAGATTTCTGCATTGAAATTATGGATATGGCTAACAAAGGGAATCCTTTTTTTAAAAAAAAAAATTGCTGCCCATTTGTTCTCCAGAGAAAGAGAGCATAGAGAAAAAATACATTCCGCTCTTATTCTCATTATAAACCTACGAAACCTATTGTGTGGCGGGGTAGGTGGGTGGCTGTTTTAATTGAGAGGTACTGAGTAGGAGGAGTGACGAGAGGGAGGAGGCGGAGGAGGGACTACGAACCCTGAAAAGCTGAGAGTGCCATAGCTTAAGAGAACGAGAGACAGCGCTACCCGGAGCAGGCTGCACTTCCACTACTCCGCCTACCATTCGGGAGAGCAAGAGCGAGAGGGAGATTGAGCGAGACCGGAGACGTTCATTGGCATAAAAGTGAAGACGTTCTCTCGGTTTAAACGAATAATAATAATAATAAGGAAGCGAGATCGAGCAGGGAAACGAGATCCAGAGTTCTTCCTTCTCTCCCTTACGCTCTGAGAATCTGCGATTCATTCTTCTATTTGCCCATTATTTATTCCCCTTCCCCTGATCTGCCGAGAAATTTCTTCGCTTAAAGAACTTGGATTTTGTCCTTTTTGGTGGAAAAAAAAAGGAGGGAGGGAAGTTTTTAAAGCCAAGAAGAAGGGGCCCGAATCGAACCGGGCTGAATGAAGAGTTCTTCCTAAAACAGCTGTTAAACAAACCCAACCATCCAACTTCAGCTGGGAAGCAGCGAGTCATAGCAGCTGTAAGATCCGAGACCTTGGAAAGGGGAGAAAAAAAATGCACTGAAAGTTTTGGCAAACTTTTCTTCTTCGTCTCGGTTTTTCTTTTTGCCCCGGTGCTTGTGTGGTGGTGAGAGCGAGCGTGCTCGCGTGGGGTGTCTTGCCCCCGAGGGCTGGAGTGTGCCTGGAGAGGAAAATCGGTTACTATTCGCTGTGCTGCTGGGGAATTGTTCTGGAGAAGCTCCGGATCGGAACCGAGCTGAGCCGAAGACCCCGAGCGCGCGGCAAACCGAGGACAAACTACGCCTCTGGGGCCTCGGGAGAGCCGAGCTTATGGACGGGTGAAACCAGAGTCTAATATTCTCCCCCCTCCCCCTTCAACCCCTCAGCTTGATCACAGCGACCGCCGAGCAAAGAAGAGAAGGCTCAGAGAACCCGACCGAGCCAATCCACCCTCGCTCCTGGAATCATGAACTTTCTGCTCACTTGGATCCATTGGGGGTTGGCGGCGCTGCTTTATTTCCACAACGCCAAGGTAAAGGGGGCGGGCGGGAGGATCTCTGGGGCGGCGGGGAAGCCTTCCTCCTCCTCCTCCTCCTCCTCCTCCGCGTGGCCTGTTCGCCGCATGTTACGCTGAACGTGCGTGACGAGCGCGAGGTGATAGCGGGGGGCCCAAAGGGAGCCCACACGCGCGTCGGATGAGCGGATCCGGAGGCGCCAGACAGACCCTCCGGTCGGGTTGCTCGCGCTCAGCCCGCCGGTGCTTGGTTGACCTTGTGAGGGCACGCGGCTATCTCGGCTCGGCGCTCTTCGGGGCTGCCGACAAAAGACCGGCCACCGACCCTTTTGAGCCGAGCGAGCGAGCAAGCAAAGCCCTACGTTATGTGGCGTTTAAGCTGACTGCGCTGCCCGCGTGGGGCCTGCGCGTGCGATCGCAGGGCTGGGGGGGGGCGGGGGGAGGAAGTAGAAGATCAGAAGCTGTTTGCCCACCCTGGCAGGTCTGGCTTCCTTCTTGCGTGTTGCCTAGGCTTAGAGACCGTTCCGAGTAGGTTTCCTTCTCTTCCTGTCTGGGGAACTGGGTAGTTTGGAAACCTGGTTTTTGAAGGACGCCCTACGGAGGAGGCACGTTACTGATCGGAGCATATAGGCTGACTTCTTGTAACAGCAGCAGCGGCGGCGGCAACGGCAGCGCACGCTGCGCTCTCTCCCTCCCCCTGCTCCTCCTGATATTGCAAAAGCGGTGTTTTTGGCTTGTTTGCCTTAGTTAGGCAGGTTTACTGACCGGAGTTCAAAATTCCTGGCTTGCAAAAGCAAACAGAGATCAAAGACCGCCAGATGAATTCTGTGGCTCTTCCAGATTGATTTACAGATGGAACGACCCTGCTGAGTTTCCATAAATAAGAGCTTCTCTATACGGTTTCCCGCTTCTAAACTCCTCTCATCTTTATTCGGTTCCTTATTATAAAAGTACGGTAAAGGCCATTACCCGAAGACCCCACTAGCAGGAGCTTTTGATTTGCTCCTTAAAGGAATCAAATAAGTTGGATGGTTGTAGCGTTTGTTTGGGTTTAGCTCCTGTTTGCTGTTAGGTAGTTGATTCACAAGAAAGAAAGGGGATGCAGGTTAATTTCCCATGGTTGTTTGCCTTTGGAAATTTAAGGGAGAGAAGTGAAGTCTTAAAACCCCCACTTCAAAAGTTGCCCTTTGCCACTTTTCATATGTCTTGGAACAAAATCTTGTCATCTATAGCCAATAGTCACTTGATGGCATCAAAGTTAAACAAGAGTGTAGAAAAAGTTATAACTTTTTTTTCAGCCGTAGATGTAAGATATCTGCCATTTCAGATTTGTCTGGTTAGATGTCACAAGCGTTCCAAGCTAATTTGTTCAAGTCCAGCTTTGCTGCGAGTGACAGCAGCACATTTATCTGTACAGGACAGGAGATGTTTTTGAAGAAAACGTGTGAACAGGTTAATCTGAGATGGCTATGCTTGATTTTTAAAATGATCCTCGGGTTATATGGTTTTACCAAGCTTACTCAGCCTGGATTTACAGATTCTGTCATCGTAAACAATCTGGCCAGTGATAGGAGATTTCCACCAGCACTTTTGGATGCTACTAGATTAAGAAATCTGATTAATGCATGAAGTACTGTGAAGACAAGTAAAAACAGAATATTAAAAAATACAGAGAGGGAGAATAGATGGAATGATCAGAAATATAGATGACTTTCCCCCCCAAATAAGTAGAGAAAGGATCCTCAACTCTTATGACCCCACCATCATTTGGGTAAATTGCTAGGTGCCATATTATAATATTATATATTACCAAGCCAAAGCAGATACAGTATATGAAGTATGAATCCCTGGGGAGCACAAAATGAATGCATTTGCACTTTTTGACCCCAGTAAGTTTTGAAACATCTTAAACTATATTGGAAACATGGAAGGAAAAAAACTGTTGGTAAGAAGAGAATTAAATTATTCTGTGCGGTGTGGCACCTTAAGGGAGCGCGGAAGACGAGTCTATTCTTTTGCTGAAAGTGAGATAGCATTAATTTAAGTTATTAGGGACTACTAATCTCTATTAATATATAATGCAAACTGATTTCATAGCTTTAATGCTTTTTTATTAATTGTAAGGTAATGGTATTAGGAGCTGATTGTTTTATTTATTTTACTGCTTTATTGGATTCCTTTTCACTGCCCAGAGTTGCTTTTGGTGAAATGGGCAGCTAAATAAAATTGATAAATAAATAAAACATATCCAGCCTTGACTTGTTCAATAAAGTCATAGTTAACTAGTTTTATATATTATGTGAAGTTTTAACCCATGGTTGACACACCATAGTGGCTGGATTCAAAAAAAGCAATCGGTCAAAGCCAGATAAGTCACAGTATAGCTTAATGTAAGTTGTGAGCTCATAACTCAGGTGATGGAATTGCAGGCATTGATTTCCTCTTAACAGTTCATCTGTTGGCTGTAATAATGGTGCAGTGTCTCCCCCCCCCAAGTGATTAATCACTTTTGAAAGTTTTACCCTTGGAGTGAAGCATGTGTTATTGGTGAGAAGACCCATGGATGAAAAGACTGAAGATCCAATCCAAAACCTGCCTGCCTTTAGTTTTGCTACATTGGCAATACTTAGTCCCCTGATGTAATCCTTTGTGATACCGGTACTAAGTTTGTTGCAATGTGCAAGTCCTGGGGCTCCCTCTCAACACATCTTTCTGGTAGGACTGAGCAAAGATCAAACAGTAAAGGGTGGAAACACGAGCGTGTGACCAGACTGCTAATGATCTCACAGCCATCATCAGCCTTTTGCTCAGGCCACATTGGGGCTCCTGCTTACTGCCCAGCTGCTTCCTCTGAGGGGAGGCAGTAAGTCACCTTCCTCCTTTTAGCTATGCAGCTGAAGGTGGAAATCTTCTTCCCGATAAAAAGTGGATGTTGCAGCAGCCCTCTTCGGATGTATCCTACTCATTTTCTGAACTCGTTTTCTCCCTTCTTTGTGCCATGTCAGAAATCCCTCCCTTATTGGGCCATTGCGCTTTCTTTCTCCTTAGAGTGCATAGCAGGGGGAGGAGGAGAGGGAGAACTGCAGCATTTAGGCAGAAAAAATTAGAAGAGGTTTTCTCTCCCCCCCCCCCAGCACCTAGGCTGGCATGGGTTTTTAACTCTAGTCCCAGGGGCCCTCCCAAAGTGGCTGGATTGTTTGCTCCAGTCCAAAACAGTTACAAAGCTCTTTTAATGAGGCTGCTGAGATTAAGGGGAGGGGGAGGAGAAAGCTAGAGAAAGAATGGTTTTGATGTGAAAGAATAGGAAGTATGTGTGTGTGTGTGTGTGTGTGTGTATGTGTGTGTAGAAGCAGTGTACTGAGTTAACCTTTTACTTGCTTCATATAGGAATGAGTAGGATATAAGAATAGAATTGCCAGCTCCCTGCCAACTTGCTGTTGCTCAAGCCTTAAAAGAGATATTTCTCCTACTGTCTGTGCTGCTGAAAACTCCTAACAGGAGACAATTAAGTGTCTTAATGGGGAAACAATGAGTAAAACCTCAGGCCAGGGAAAAGAGATGGGTACAAGCAATGTGACCTTCAGACGGGCACTTGTCCCTTGAGAAGAAAAGTTTGTTTTGTCCTTCCTTTGATGGGAACAGGGAACATTTAGACCCTTCATCTAAGTCCTGATACTTGGGTTAACGGAGACCGTCAGAGCGTTGGCCAGAGAAAATGTAATTCATCAGCACAGGAGCAGAGATGAACCTTCAGATTTCTCAAATGGATTCAAGGTGACTCTGCTGTATAAATAGCTCCTAGATTCAAAGGCAAATGGCATGAGCAATGGTGTGAATAGATTGTACGTGATGGCTAATGGGGTTCCTTTTCCTTGTCTGATTGGTGAATATACTGCTTCCAGTTTCTGCTAATCGGGGAAATAGTCTAGCCTTGACAGGCAGTTTGAAAGAGAGAGAAAAAAAGAGACAGATGGACACAGACCATACCAAGTCCCTATTTGCGATCTGGAATCTCTTCTAGTGATTTTTTGGTCTCTTTCCTAAATGATCGATCCTCACAGACACACACAGAGAGAGAGAGAGAGAGAGAGAGAGAGAGAGAGAGAGAGAGAGAGAGAGAGAGAGAGAGAGAGAGAGAGAGAGAGAGAGAAGGAGAAAACTGTTTTGGAAAAGGTGAAGAAGCATCAGCAAGAAGTACCTCAGGGGCAACTTTAGGCCAGAAGTAAGGAACAGTTTCTAGCTGATGCCGCAGGACCCAAGCAGGGCTTTGAAGAATAAAAGCTGGGGGTGTCTCCTTTCCCAGAGCCCTGACCAAGTTATGGCAGGGCCGCATGCTTAGCTGCTCAGTCAGGGCACTTGTGGGCAGCATGTTTGCCACAGTCTCATCCTGCAGATGGAGGAATCCCAGGACAGCCTGCCACAGCCTGCTGGCTCATAAAGACTACGTGCTCTACGCGATGCTAGAGAAATGGGCGGACACCTGCCTGACAAGGAGCTGTGGCAACTTGCCACCTCACCAGAGAGCTGCCTGTCTGAAGCGTCTTTCAGATGCAACAGAAGCTGTGCTCAGAACTGATTGTGGCAGCTTGCTGGCCCACGAAGGCCTTAGTGATTAAATTTTGACTCCCCCTACCTTGTTTGTAAAGTTGCTGTGACCTTCACACAGAGATAGAAAAATCTTGTCAGCTTAAAAAGGAACATTGTCACCTGTGTGCTGCCAGACTCCTGTCTCTGCAGATCGAAGTGATTCTATCTGTTGGGCCATCCAGTAGATCAATCCTCCCAACGCCTGGAGTTCCTAATCATTGGCCATGTGGGCTGGGAGTTCTTGGAAATGTCCCAAATCAGGTAGGGGATACCAGGCAACAAATAGATGAGCAGCATTGCATTCTTAACCTCTGTTACCTGTTGCTAACAGCCTAGTGAACCAGCTGGATTGCTCTTGAAATCCACTGGCTGATTCCAGACTCCATAATTTGCAAATCAGAAGGGCCTTGGTTCTTCCTCTCTGCTGAAACTGTGGTAATGACCTTGGCTAAGTACCTCAGAGGTATGAAACACTGACATTCAGATTCCTTGTCATGTCATTTTTAGAATGTCACCAATATTGTTTTCTCTTTTGCCAGTCATCTCCTCTGTTCAGGTTTGTGTTGTAGATTTTAATCTTAATAATAATAAATGCTTTAAAGCAGATCATTCCGCTGCCTAGAAAAGTGAGAGTGCTATCCAAGAAAACTTTTTGAGTTCTCCTTTCTGTCCCATGTGCAGAAAGCAGACATATAAGCTAAATTGATTCTTACTAAATAGAGATCTTGCTTTCTCACATTTATATCCCAGGGGAATCTTCCTTGTCTAGAGTATGATAATAGCTTAAATCTACTTTTTCTTACATACTTAGAAAATGACATTTCCCCAATGTCTCAGTATATTTCTTAGCTCCCTTTTAGGCACTGAAAATTCTGTGATATCTTTCTATAGTATCTTCCCCTGTAAAATAGCTCCATTAGCACTGAATCATAAAAGCAACTTAAATGTAGTAAGCCAGATAAAATGTAATTTCAAAAGTCAATGATTATTTAACCTTTTAGACAACAGGTAAGCCACAGTTTGCCAACTTGGCACTTTCCAGGTGTATGGAATCAAAGTGGGGATGCTGGCATGGTATACAACATTTTAAAAAGTAGCTGGACATGGAATCTGGTCATGTACAGTATATTTTGTAGACCACCACTGAAACAGAAGCAAAAAGTCTCCATTAGGTTCCATATTTCCAAGAAATGTTTGGTTCACAATTCAGGTGCATTTTCCTTTGGATTTTCTGCAGAGAAATGGATATTAGAACATAATTGGCATAGGCCATTTTTGGTTTCCTTTTGTATTCTGCAAAGTACAACAGATTCTGACCTTTATTACTCAGACCTACAAAATAACTAAGATCGAAAAAGAGCTTCAGTGTTTGTAGGCTGAGGGCACCCGATTTGTGTTCTGATTAGTTCTATGTTGGTTTTTCAGGTGTTGCAGGCTGCTCCTGCCCAGGGGGATGGAGACAGGCAACAAAGTGAAGGTAAGTGCTGGTAAATTCCCTGATAAATATAATGGTCCCTTTAAGAAGGTGCTGATGATTTGAAGAGGAGGAGATGAACGGGCACCAGCCCATTAGCTGGACCGCTGGGGAGGGAATCCTCACTTACGTTGCTAACATTTGGAAAATGAATTTATGTGAGGGTGTGGGGTGACGGTGGTGTTGGATTGTAATTCTGTGGACAGAAACAATGGAAGTGACTTCACTAACTGAAGTGAAGTAGACTAAAGATTTCCAGCATGACTACACTGAAAATGTTTAAGTGAAGACAGTGGGGGATTCTTAGTTGCCAGGTTTGACATATTGAGTTTCAAGATTTCCCAGGATTTTTTTTTTATTAAGCAGCTGCAGTTATGCACAACAGTATTTTGCTCTAAAGGAGAAATGAGATAACACCATGTTTTTATTAAACTTCAAAGAACAACCTTATCAACCCAGATGTGTTAAGTGTACAGCTGCAGATCACACAGGCTGTGAATGGCAGGAGTTCAATCTACATGGAGACTATCCAACTAAAGAAGCTTGTCAGGGAGAATATATTGGACTGGAATGTTGGCATTTTAGTCTTTTTAAAACCTTACTTAAAACTAAGATCAGCCATCTCAGCAACTCTGGGAATAATAGTTGGAGGAATTTACCATGATTTTCAAAGTGAAGTCACGTTGAAAATTTCCTGTCTCTCATCTTTTTGCTGACAGACCTTTGACCCATGTTGTTTTGCTCAGATACAAAATAAAGTTACCAAACTATCAGTGCTTAAGTTTCCAAGGATCATGGTACTGGCCACCTGAAAAGATAATTTTCAGAAACAATTATGAGAAGGTTGATCCATCTTTTTAAAGGCCACAGTGCTACATGCCTATAGGGAAATATGCCCTACTGAAAGTAATGGTGATTTCTTCTGCATAAATATGTGCAGCATTTGCTGCTGGTGTGTTTAGAAGATTTGCTTGCACCTTAAGAGAGTCTGGGAGCATTTTTGCAAATAGGCCATTTATAACCAACTGCACTTGCTGCATTGTTGGACATTTTATTTGAGTATGTCAAAAAAAAAAATGGAATAGAATGGAAGCTCCATTGTGCTTTTAAAATTTTAGATCAGCCATGTCCTGAATCTGCATCTGTGGAAATGATTGCCCACACTGGATGGTGATTATGGAGGCTGCAGTTGGGAAGCTATTAGGTTGAAGTAGGTTGTTACAAAAAATTCTGTTATGTCTAGAGCCAGGATCCTCTGATTTTGGCAGCGTGGGCCTAAATGCATTTGTCTTTTAGCCAAACGTTTATTAGACTTGGGTCTTGCAAGAAATTTCTCAGAAAGAAATTCCTGAGCAAAAACATAATTTGTGAAAATATTTAGTAACCTTCAAATCTTATACAGTACTTTGCAAAATATGTGGCAGGAAGGAAGGAAAGGAGGAGATGTAGAAACCAGGCATACTACAGTAAAGAAATTGAGAGGGATTTAGGGAATGCGCTACTGGCAAGAGGGTAGCACCTATTGTTCCACAGTACAGAGAGCACCAGTTTAAACTTAGTATCAATCCTCACAGCCTTTGAAGTTTCAGCGAGTAGAAGTTCACCTAACTTGGGAGATTCCACAGCAAACAACTTGCTGTCCACAGTGTGAAATTCTACTGTGGAATCTCTTTAGTTTGGGGCATTCAGGGAGTGGCGCTTGCTGCTGTTCTTAGAGTTAGACAGCAGCAGGGGGCGGCCTTTTCTTTTACCACTGTTAGTTTCAGTTGCAATCAGGTTTTTTGGCCTGGTGAACTTGCAGGAGTGTTGTCAGAGTCTCAGGGGAGCATAACTTGTAAGAGCACACCCTTATATTGTGATCTAATTGCTGTTCTGCTTTTAACATTTTTTGCCCTGAAAATGAATACATGGTGGTTCCTTTTCCTGTGTATGTGAGAAAACAACTTCATGGCAGGTTGATCTTTAAACTGCTTGGCCCTTTATCTTGAACTGCCAATGCATGAATAACATTCAAGCATTGGCTTGTGTTTTGTGGTGTTAGTCTGTCACAAAGGAGTTGTTTGGATTTCTTTGAGCTCCGGGACTGATACAAACTCTGCGGAATGCTGTATTTCAGAAAAGGCCAGCCAGGGTTTTGCAGGTTATCATAATTACATTTTTCCTTCTGCTTAAAGGTTAGGCGTTATGTCACCTAGTCAACGAGTAGCCAGATAAAACCAGGCTTTCTGACTAAGTCCTGATCTGATTGACATAATTGAATATCAAGAGATGTGATTAGCAAGCAACTGCAAAACAGTTGCTGCAGTAACGTTGCACAACTAGGTATAAAGATCTGAGGTTTCTGTGGGATCATAGAATAGCTTATTGAGGGGACTCATAGTGAAGCTTTAAAGATGCAGATGATCAAGTTGCACTATTTAAGACTTCACATTATTACATGCTAAACTGCAAATGAGAAGGCCAGCAACTGAGTAATTGTCTCTTTCTGCTGTGTATCAGTGACCAGTCTCTCTTAAATAGAGATTGACAAATATCTCTTAATTTCCTTTGTTCTTGCATTTGTATCTTAAAAGTTAGAATAGTTAGAGTACTTTGTTATTTTGCACCATTTTTCTTGTTTGAATATCATTCATATGAAAGGATAGAATATAGAATAGAGCTGGAAGGGTCCTTGGAGGTCTTCTAGTCCAGCCCGCTGCTCAAGCAGGAGAAGCTATACCATTTCAGACAAGTGACTATCTAGTCTCTTCTTAAAAACCTCCAATGATGGAGCACCCATGATTTCTGGAAAGCAACGAAGCAATTTCTTACCTTTTTTTCCTGTTGTTGTGGCTGCATTGAGTCTGCTTTTGTAGTGTTCTGTTGCTAACAGATTGGCAAGTTAATTTAAGAACGTTACTTCCAAATGAGGAAGAATAATAATGCTTTTTGCTAGAATTATTATCATAATGGAGTGTGCCGGCAATGGAGTTTAGTATTCTAGGTATATTCTAGGGAGCATTCTGTGTTTAATATCATTGAGATACTAACCTAAATTTCATGTAATTCATACTTACATAGGAAATAGGCAAAGAACTCAGAAATAAGAAGGTGCCTCTATTCACTTTTCATACCATTATAATTATCAGTTTTTAGAAGTTGATAATTCTCCCACTGTCCTTCCCCCTTCTCATATTTATACATTTGAAAGTGATGAAGCAAAAATAAAAACTCTGTAGAAGATGCTAAATGTCTGCCAGCTATTATGTGGACACAGGATGCATCTCTTTGGATGATCCACAGATTATTTAAAAAATCCTAAATCATTTAGGACAGCCATTTAGCTATCTTTAGATAGATGGCGAGATGGGTGGTACGTAAATTTAATAAATAAATAGTTTGTGATGAAGTTAAAGGGTAAATTAGTTGCTCAGGCAAAGACAGTAGGTACCCCATGACTTTCATACTGAGCTCTATTTGGGGATACATCCCCTTCAGTGTGTACGTGGGTCGTAAGATTTCATTACATGGAAAAAAAACCTGTTAAATTTGTTTCACAGCATGAGGGTCAAGTGTTTGAGATGCTCAGTCTTTGTCTTTGTCCATTAGTTTTCTTCTGAATGCAGATGCATAAGGAGGTAGATAATAATACTTTCAACTCAGCGTTATTATGACAAAGTTTCTTGTGCTCTTAATGCTCAGAAAGAAGTGAATAATCAGCAAGGTGTTACATGTCTGGCTATGTGCCGGCAAGTTTTCCCAGACACTAAATTGTTTAATTCTCCAGTTTGCATTTTAAGGTTAAGGTCAGCCTGAAGGGGAATAAGGAGGAGTTGGCCCACACTAATCCCACAAGTCTTGCTAGAGCTTGGACTGGACAGAAGGTTGCTGTGGATGGAAGTGCTCCTTTTGAGCTGGAGATCGCCCATCACTACACATTTTCTCTCTCTGAGCAACTGTCTCTTTAAATAGGCACTTAGGCTGGGCAGCCAGTAGAAATCCCGGGCAGGCTTCTCCTCAGATGGTGGCCTTCTCAGTCCCACATGACCAAGAATTAACTTTCCGCAATTATCAAGAGCACTCTGTCTCTCGTTCCCTCTCCCCACTCCCAGCACGTGCCTGCGCTTCAGTGGAGCAACCTTTATGCTGGTTTGTCACAGGTTCAGGACTGTTCAAAACGCTTACTGGTTTCTGTTTTTTCCATGATGCAAGCAATTTGTGCTTTTTATCACACTGGGTTATCAACGTAGACACTGCAGGCCTTGGAAGGCAAAAAAAACAAAAAACAAAAAAAAACACTTAGGTCAAACAGTATCTCCTGCCTCTCTAAGGACTCCATTAGCTACTTCTAATGTGCCTGTTGGAGGAACAGGCAGAAGCCCTTGTTTTGTTTAAAAGATCTCTTATTCTGTTTGGAAGACAGATTTTGTACTCTTGCATTGAGCCATGCGTCTCTATCGCCTGCTTCAGTTTTGCAATGAATCATTAGTTTTAGCCTAGTCATGGTAGGATTGTGTGTGTGTTTGTATGTATGTATAAATTTGTTAAGGCTGGGGGCCTTGCATTCTCCCGCCCCCAATGTTGCATAAAAAAATTGGACTGGAGTGATTTTTAGTTTCATGCACCTTTTCCTGCATATTTGGATCAGCCTTTCTCAACGCTAACTGTGGGCTGTCCAGATGCTTTGGACATGACAGCTAGAATTTCAGCCATTAGCCACGCTGGCTGGTAACTGATGAAGGCTGAACTAGATGTTGGTGGCTGGGCTGGAATAAAATAATAATTTCTCTAGTAGAACTTCCCTCGCTTTATTGAAGAAGATAATCTATTCTAAACACCTAACATTAGAACTTAATAATAAATATCATAATGAGGTAGATCCGGAATAAATAAGGCCCACTGAAGTTCTTTTGAGCTTTTCAAAGTTCAAAAGTAGTTTCAATTGGATTGTACCTCAATCCAATCCAGAATTACTCATATCAAATTCTACAATAATTGAAGCAAATTATGAGGCCCTTTGTGTAAATATGAAATTATGAAAATGTTTTGCTAGCCAGCCAGAGTGCCCAACCCAGAATGGTGACAACATTTTTGGAGGGAGTAAGGTGATTGTTTGCTTCTTGTAGTTTAGAAACACGAACGAGGGGCATTTCTGTGCTGGAGTAAAACTAAAACTAAAACATTTTGGAGAAGGTCAGGAAATGGTATGGCGTGGGTTTATGGAAGGGAGCAGGACCTTCCCTCCCATTAAGTTCCTTGATTTTTGTGCTGAAAACTGCTTGACTAGAGTCTAGAATGAGCTTCTGCTTCTTCTCTGGCTACTTTTTGTATAGTCTTGGCAGTAGTATAGGGCCAGAAGTTAAAGGAAGAAGCATATTTTCCAGCTACATGGCACTGTGTGATGATTCCTGGAAAATGTGATATTCCCACTGCAGAAAATTTTCTGAGGAAATTGAATCTGGTCCTGCTCGACAGCTGTACCTTTGAGAGAATCTGTTAGGCTAACATCAAATAGGAGTTGAGGTATTTTACATGTGAAGGGACACTGTGTTGGAACCTCTGAGTTTCTGAAATGACCAGTTTCTGTGTCCATTCACTTCAGGGTAAAGCTTCTCTAACAAGCTGCCACCATGCCACGAGATTCGTGGTCTTGTGAATCATTTTTATTTCCCTCTTGCAAATGCATTCAATGTCTAGCTGGTTAAAATTCAGACAAGACAGATGCTAAACTTGTCAGTGATTCATCATATCTTGCTCATCCACAATCCCTATAGTCTGCCTTCTTAGCCTTTAAGTACATTTTAAGTAGGCTAATGCATTTACTGAGAGCCTGTATTTTGCTGAGCCTGTTGGGTAAGAATCCAGTAGAAGGGGCAGACTTAGTGGTCCTTGTGTCTTAAGTCTATGTGTATATTATATTGTAATGTTAATGTTAGACTTCACAGAATAAGTGTAACTAATCCCTCCTTTTCCTTTCTCCCTTCCCTTTGTTTTCTAGTTATCCCATTTATGACCGTCTATGAGCGCAGTGTCTGCAGGCCAATTGAGACCATGGTAGATATTTTCCAGGAGTATCCTGATGAGGTGGAATACATCTTGAAACCACCCTGTGTGGCCCTGATGAGATGTGGAGGATGCTGTAATGACGAAGCGCTAGAATGTGTGCCTACAGAGCTGTACAATGTCACCATGGAGGTGAGACTATGGTTAAACAGTCAAGGCAACTTTTGACCTGCAGTTTTGTCTTGTTTTCTTTAACAAATTCCACAATGGATGGTTTTTATAATTTGGGAAGGATCAACTGGTGGTCTTCGACCACATCCAGCTCCTAATATAAGCACTAGTATCTGTTGGGTGTGGAAAGAATAGAGAAGGATGAATCATAGAATTATAGGACTGGAAGGGACACAGAAGTCTTCCAGTCTAACTCCTAGCTCAAGGTAGGAGCCTTATATTATCCCAGTTAAATGGTAAATGTCCAGTCTAGTTTTGAAAACCTCTAGTGATAGAGCACCCACAGCACCAGGAGGTGAGGTATTCCATTGATTAATTGTTCTCACTGTCAGAAAATTTCTTCTTACTTTTAGGTACTTCTCTTTAACAAGCTTACATCCATTACTTTCTGCCCTTAGAGAATAAATAAATCCCCTCTTCTTTGTGACAGCTCCTTAAATAGTAAAGACTGTTAGTATGTCATCTCCCCTCTCCCCCCCAATCCTTCTTTTCAATAGGCTAGACATGCCTAGCTTTTACCTATTTTTAATGTGACCAGAGTAACGTGACTAGGTCATGTTGTTCTTGGGCAATATGAGTAGGTCAGAACTGCTTCTGAGATTATAAAAAGTGCAGCCTAAATATAAAAACAAAAACAAAAGTAACCCTCCCCCCAACAAAACAGAACAGAAAAGTAATTGCCCTGGTGGCCTTTGTTATTTCAAGAACTATACATGCGGCTTTGGCTATTGTGATGCTCTCATGTTCTCCAAAGGGAAGGATTGTAATATGAAGTGATGCTTCACATTCATTTAAACCTGAATATAATTTCCCCTGAAAATTCAGAGACCACTTTTTGCCTATACTTCTATATATATATGTACACACAGAGATCATATACTCATGTAATAACAACCTACATTTCAAGTTTCTGTTTCCTGTGTGTGCTTCACTTTCTAACCATTTTAACAGGTAGTTTGCCTGATAAACTAAATAGACAGATTACTTGCCCCAGATCTGTTATTCTATATATACCTTGCTTAATTCTCTTTAAATAACATCCAAATGTTAGAATCTATATACCGGTATCAAAGGATCTATGTGAGTTAGCCAAGACCACTTCGTAAGGCAATCTGTTTTGATGAGCAGGGCAAAAAATCTTTTAACCTTTAAACTTGTGGACATGAGGCCTATTTACGAAGTAGTCCTTGTTGAATGACTGCCTCATTTAGTGATTGTTTGCAGGTACTATAGGGATGAAAAATAGATACTTTGTCACCAATCTAATTTGCGGGTTTGTAAAGCAAAGGAAAACTGAAGTGAGATAATAAACATAGTCATGGTTTCACCTAATGACCAATTTGATTAATAACCAATTTGCTAAATCCAATTGTGATTGCTAAATGAAGACTAATTGTACTTTTTTTTGGCATGGTGATTCATATCAGGAATTTGGCATTTCTTACTGTTTTTGAGCATTTTCCAATACATTCCTGCTCAAAACTGAGTCCCATGAATTTAGAGCAGTGTTTCTTACACTTTTAAGATGTATGGATTTTAACTCCCAGCATGGCTGGCTGGGAAATTTTGGTAGTTGAAATCCACATATCCTAAAGTTGCCAAGTTTTAGAAATACTGGTTTAAAAGGTAAAATGAGGATAGGATGGCAGCGTAAGAATGCTAACTTATCTAGCCTTCATTTTGCCCCCTCTGTTTTATCGTTATTTTGCTTATTTGTTTTGTGAGATGGCTGTTGAACATTACCCATTTGGGAATGCGACTCACTGTCCCTCTTTTTTCTTTCTCCCTTCTACTGCATTCTTTCCTTCTAGATCATGAAACTCAAACCCTATCAGAGCCAGCATATACATCCAATGAGCTTCCAGCAGCACAGTAAATGTGAATGCAGGTGAGGACAGAGAGCTTTTCTGATTGAATTTGGAGAAGGATTATACGATTATACCAATAATAGTACCCAGCTGGTTACCTGTATCCACCTATTCACCCAAAATCTTGTGGTCTTGTTCTATATTGGGAAGGATTTTTTCCTTGCTAGCCATAGGTTTGGTAATTTAATCTATATTGATTGACAGATGATGTACGTTTACTGTACAGTAATAGGAGGGCTTTAACTTTTCTTCTTTAGAAACCTCAGTTACATCAACATTGCTTCAGCAACAGAAGCATTCCTTATGGGTCTGCATCTGGGTCATAAAATGAATGTGTGGGTATCTGGTGTGTTTACATGCTCTCAATCTCTGTCATGGAAATTTCACTGGCTGCTTAGTACATTCTTTGGATAGGTGCAATTGAGAACCAGCAGCTAGTTAAGAAACATTGTATTGCTGTTTTGCTCCAACTGAGTAAACAGGTGGTTGGGTTTTGCCTATGTCCCTAGGTGCTCTGATCCCTTAGCCCCCAACCTTTGTATTATAAGTTTACATGATCACGAAAACATGATTACAATCAAGAGAGCTACTTTGGTGCAATGGTGCAATGGCTAAAGTGCTGGACTAGAATCCCAGAGAATGCAAGTTCTAATCCTCTCTTAGATGTGAAAGTGAGTTCAGTGACTTTGGGCCAGTCACTCTCTGCAACCTAAATCACCCTACAGGTTTACTGTGGGAAAAATAGAAGGCAGAAACATTGTATATTTTGCCTTGAGTTGTACAAAATAACAGTGGGATATAAATCTAATAATAAATAGATCCGTATAAGGCAGAGCTCTGATGTCAACGCAAGTTATATTCATTTTCATGGCAATATGTACAAAATCTCCCTTCAGATTTTGCTATTTAGTCAATGTTGGGCAAAGGGAAATAGAGCTGGGGATATTGGGGGCAAGGCCAAAAGATACGACTTTTTAATGCATAGATTTAGGCATAACATCTGAATAGTGTTTTAATTTGATCAGAAAGAAATGTGCTCTCTTTTCTGCCCTTGGCTGTCATAATTAAGGCCAACTTCAATAACCAGATAGTCCTATGGGTTTTAAGCTTGTGCTGCCAGATAACATTGCCAGTGGACAAGGATAATGGAATTGGTAGTCTGGAACATTTGGAAGGCTGAAACAGACAGTGCTGGAAGGCAGAAGAGCATCCTTTATTAAGTTTTCTGCCGAAATTGGCATGGTAAAACGTGGATGTGATCTTTATATTTATTGCTAGTTCTCTTCTAATCCTGCTTTTCTTTTCTTCCGTTGTAGACCAAAGAAAGAAATCAGAATTATACAAGAAAAGTAAGTGACCTGGATTATATCCCTCCCCTAAATTGGTGCTGGTGATCTCCCTCCTTTCTTTCTTAGATCACTACAAATAAGAATTAGTTGTTGCTGTTCTTTAAAGAAATCAAGTGTTCATCTAAAGAATTATATCTCGAATCCATTCCTCTTAGCTACAGTCACACATGTAGCTTTGACAGCTGTGGTTCCTTTATGCTTTGAGGCCATTTTGAAACTGTTTACTTATAAAAATATGTCAGGAACAGCATGGAATTAACCGAAAGCTTTTATCCCTTTTCAACTGGATTCTAGCTGAAATTTTCCTTCACATGCATTTGACCCCATTGCCCTCCCATCTCTTTGCTGCTTTGATGAAAACTTGCTGATGTTTTCAGCAACTTTCATAGATACCTAACATTAAGGCTGTGCATGGAAGCTCTACTATCTCACTTAGAACAAGGGAGTTTTGCCCTTTCATGATCCAAAAGTCATGTACGCCCAGTCAAAGAGTGGGTACGGTTCTGATGTGAATTAACTTTGCATATCAATCATGAAAGGTGGAATAAAGAGAGTTATTTTATTGCCAGCATTCCCCAGCATGGTGCCTTTTATAGTGCTTTTGGAATATCTATCCCAGGCTATTGGTGTTGCAGTCTGGGGCCAACCAGATAGTAGTTCAAAGCATCTGGAAATACTGCATTGTGGTGACTGTAGATGAGTTGTGTGTGGGAATGGAAGTAGCTGATCTTGTAATGTGAAACTGACATCTACCTTGAGACTTGTGTGGTATTATTGAATGATAAAATAGAATTCTTCTCTATACATTAGCCAGCCTAATCAAATATGGATATACTTTTTAAATTTCTAGCTTAAAAATAAATGCATGTATGCACTGTGAGGGTATATTAAGTTGGTTTATGGTCTGCGAGTTGGCTTGGAAGCTGGGGGAGAAAGAGAGAGAGAATGGGGATTGGGGAGGATATTTTTAGTTAGTTGTGCTGTTTTCATACATGTCCTAGCTTAATTGAATTCTCATGAATTCACATTGTGGAGCCATCAGTGGATTGCCCGGGGAAATACTGCTAGCTTGGCTTATACTCTTCTGGTGCACATGTTATTCAGCTGAATGGCAGAGTGACTCAGAGATGTAAGAGTGTTGTGATTGAGTGAGCACCGTGGCCACAGTCTTCCCTCTGGGACTATAGCTTTCCACTCCTTCAGGTGGCTTACTTTGCTCTGCAAATCTCCATATCGGTATCGGGTTCCTCTGGTTTGGGTTAAGCTGAAATTCCTCTTAATGCTTGATGCCTTTTTTCATGGTGTGCCTCTGGATGAATGTGGCATTAATGAATGTAAAACTTTGTGAAAGTTTCCTGACGTAAACATGCTTTCTCTGCCCTGCTAGTAATTCTGTGTTCTTGTGATGCTTACTTTGCTTGTGGTTAGGAGAGAAAAACTGATGCCAACCAAGAGGCTTGAACAAGATCCACGGCACATCCTGTCCATTAACCTCAGGGACTTCCTCCTTTATTACAGCATCTCCTTCTTCTAAAGTTTAAATAAACTGTTTCTAGGAAGAAAGGAGTACTTTTTCTATTAGGTTTTGTCCCAAGAATATTGCATTTTTCCACGTGCATTTCTCTCAGAATCTACTGCTGGAGCAGTAGGTGCTAAGTTTCACCTGGTTTTCTCCTTGGTTGGGATTGCTGCTCTAGGTCTGTGCACATTATCAAAAGTACACAGGAAGACCTTAATGTGTGTGGGTAGGAATTTGCTTTGCAGAACGTCCCAGGGTTTTTCTAGGCAGAGCTAAGAAATCACTTGTCTGAAAACCTACCAGAGACTCTGTCGCATAGTGTAGACAATATTGAATTAGATGAACTGGCAGACTGTTCAGTAGAGTTGGTTTCTTAGGATCACCGTTTTTAATGAAAGGGTGAAAATCAAACCTATACATTACTTTCTGTGGCATTTGCAGCAGGGAAGGGGGCTCAGATTCTCTGTTAAAAAATACAGTTGTGTTATCTTCCAAGGAATGATAGTTAGATTAGCCCCATTGCCTTACCTCACAGTGTAGAAGTTGGATATATTTTAAACCTCTAGTACCAGCAAGTGGGAGGGATCAGAGGTCATCTGCCTATATGTAGTAGCTCACAGAGTTCTTGGATGTTAGTGACAACCCCTATAATAATGGGATTCAGACAGGCCATAGTTAAGTTCCAAGAGCAGAGCAGAGCAATTGAGGCTGAACTGCATATTAGTAGCTTACCTCCTTTTTCATAGAATGCAGAATTACCTTCCTATCTTTCACTGTTATCTGCCTATAGGTGAACAGCTCAAAGGAGCTTTCTGATGGTTCCAGTGGGAATTCTCAGAAATAATTTGCCGAGGGTAAAGCTTGTACATGTCAAAATGAAAAGGATAAAACAAGCAGGTGCAACACGGAAGCACATTTGTCCATTGTTAAGGGCTGCCCAGTTCCTTCCTTCCTTCCTTACTGAGGTTGGAGAGCCCATTCTCTCTGGGGAGCAGAGAACTAATTTTTAGGGCCCATACTGGAGCCAAAATAAGGCATTTCATTTTCTTAGGAAAGGAACAGAGTTTTTGTAGGCTGGGTCGTATTTGAAGTGAGACATGCCTATCTGTAACTGGAAGGGAAGTTGAGAGTCTTGTCAGGTTTCAACTTTTGATAGAGTTGTGTGAAGTACAGAAACAAATTTATTCATTTAAAAGATTTATATGGCCACCCATCATAAAAAAAAAACAACAACTCACAGCGAGAAAGAAGAAATGCCTCAACTCCAAGGACTTCTACAGTTTAGATGCTTATGCTTTAGCTAAGTGCATATGGTAGCTTCTCCTTCTTTTTCTTCCTTTTTTCTCTCCCCTGTGCACTCTCTCTCTCTCTCTCTCTCTCTCTCTCTCTCTCTCTCTCTCTCTCTCTCTCTCTCGCTTGTTTTGTTTTTCTTCCAGAAAATCAAAGCGAGAAAAGGGGAAGGGTCAAAAAAGAAAGCGCAAGAGAGGCCGGTATAAACCACAGAATTTGTACGTTTTTGCATCATGTGCTTTTAGACTCTGCCCTTTATCCATTTCCTTCTGTTCACCCCTCAAATCAAAACTCCTGCTTGCATTACATCTAATTAAACAATCAAAGGAGCAAATAATTTTCACTCACATCTCCAAATCACTTGTTATCGTGGTTGCACTATAGTTTGGGGACATTGGGGAACATATAGAAGCTGTGATCCTTTTTTTGTTTTTCTTTGCTTGGGATTATTCTGGTTGTTGAAGGCACAGTGACCTAAAGGGACAGGCAAATTTCTCTTATTTCCACTCTTGCTTTTCCCCTAGAATGCTCTTACATGATTTCCCCCAACCCATTTCCATTAATTTCCTCTTGGCCTTCACTTGTAAACCTGTTGGTGTGGCAACAAGAGCTTCATACTTGTCTTTCATGCATGTTTGCCTGTGTGTGAGTGTATGGAGTCTGATGGAAACTACTAACCATTACCAGAGGGGAGCTAGAGGATTCTGGGAAAATTGGGGATTGTTCTCTCTTTCTCTCTCTGCTGGAATTGGGAGCCTTGTCTCTTTCTCTGTCTTTTCTGTATCTCAATTCACTAAATCCTGCATTTCCAGCAATTCTCAGTTGGTGGGGTGATACAGGTGTATGTGGGGGGGGGGAGGATTTCAAGAGCTGCTGTTTTGATTCAGTCTGTATGGAAAACAACGCAACTTGAATAGGAGCAGCTGGGTTCTGAAGTCTTGTTTTCGCTCTCTCTTTTTTTTAAGATGGGGGTTTCTCTGTAGAAAAAAGAGTTCCCTTGAGTATTTTTTTTTTTTTTGCTATTGGCTCAGAGACCTCAGTTAACAATAAGGAGGCTCTCCTTTCCACTGCAAATTGGACTAATGCAGGATTTGTGGATTGTGCAGTTGCAGAGAGCCCATTTCTGCCTTTTAAAAAGCTATTGCAAGTAAGTGTTGGAATGCCTTTGGGAGTGTCCAACCCCCCCCTCCCAGCAGTGCTCTAGACGTGCAGTGTTGGGAGTGGGGGGTAAGGGGTGGGGGCAAGGGTTGCTTCAATGTGTAGGGTGTTGCATGTGTACATTTCTTCTCGCTAAAGCGCTGTAGCTTAGACCTCTTTCCTTTTGCCTTTTTGCAGTCACTGTGAACCTTGCTCAGAAAGGAGAAAGCACTTGTACAAACAAGATCCCCTGACCTGTAAATGTTCCTGCAAATTCACAGACTCACGTTGCAAGTCGAAGCAGCTTGAGTTAAACGAGCGCACTTGCAGGTTTGTGTCTTGAAGAATGAAAAACAGCAAATAAACCCCACATACTACTCTCTCAGACATATTCATTCAATACACACACACACACACACACACACACACACAGAGAGAGAGAGAGAGAGAGAGAGAGAGAGAGAGAGAGAGAGAGAGAGAGAGAGAGAGAGGTGGACAGACAGACAGACAGGCAGGCAGACAGACAGACAGACAGACAGACAGACAGACAGAAAGGAATTAGCTTTTGCTGGTTTCTAGTGCCATTATTCTTCTTTTCTTCTGCTTGGCCAGTCGGGCAAGAGGGAAAGAGATGGTGTAATCTGCCTAAAGTTTAAAACTTCCCTTGTTCTGGCAGAGTTGAACTGAGCTGTCTGTCAGTAGGGTGATGATAGATAATTTAGAATACACCTCTTAGGGAACAAGGTGGCTCCTTCCACATTGCTAGCGCTCCGGAGAAATCCTCAAAGACTTTTATGCAGTCCTTGTATAATGCAAAGGGCTGTTTCAATGAGATTGCCAGTCTTTTTTTGCCTCAAAACAAAGATTTTGTCTCTAAATCCATTTTTAAAGTTCTACAACAGGCCTGCAGTGGATTAAATCTATGTGGGACTGAGTCATAAATCAAGACGTGCATTCTTTCCTGCACCTCTCTTTTACCCTAGAGTGTGTGTTTTTTAAGAAGAGTGCATGATTAGCCCTTTCTTTCTCTGTATTATTTCTGTGTGTTCAGAAGGGTGAATTGCCTGGAAAAATACCTTGGCTAAAGCTCAGGTGGTCAAAGTAAAAACCCAGGATATGTATCCCAGATGGATACTCTACCCGGTGTCGGGCAGATGGCATACTGTCATCTGAGTTACCTGCTTTGTGGCTGCAAACGTTAGCCTACCCACCCCTAAGTATGGTTCTGAAAAGGCAGAACACGTTTGCTGTGACTAGATTAGATCTCTGAGAATATTGCATGAGGCTCTACCTTTCCGTGGACATCAGAAATGCTCACCTAGAGCCAGGCTGATGGTATTAGGCTTTATACGTGCGTATATATATATATATCTATATATATATCTATATATATATCTATATATATATATATATATATATATATATATATATATATATATATATATATATATATATATATATATATATATATATATATCATGAAGCTCAGTTCTCTGCCTGGGAAAGGACTTGAGACATGGCTGCATGTGTAGAGGAAACATGTGAAGATCTGTAATCTGAGTGTGGATGCCTAGTACCGCAGCATGAAGAGAGCCAGCTCTTCTTGAGTTACAGTTCACCGTGCAGAAGTAGCCCCTGGAGAGAAACCAGACATTTGTCTGACCTTGACCTTTATAGTATCCCCTCAAATTAACCAATGAGAAGTTTGAAATAATCTTGAAGTAAGTGCCATGCTATTCCCAAGGGAAGAGGAAGGGGGGAGGAATGGCTGATTAAGAAATTGCCCCAGCGTAGGACCAAGGCCAGCGTTCAGGTTGCCCTCAGAGTAGTGCCAGAGGATAGATAGGTTGGATTGTTTTGGCTTTGGCAGCTGCTCGGCTGCTTCAAATGAACTCTTCACTGCAGGGAGGAAATCTGGACTCAGAGGGCACAGCTGACTCTTCGTTTCCTGGTTTTTGCACAGCTGCTATGGTTGCTGCTGTGTTTTTAGGCACTAATCTCTGCCTCTGCAAGCAGTGGAATTAAGCTCTTTGTTTCTCCCCCTTTTGCTGGCACAGGGCACCCCGGCTTGCTTTGACTGCACCTCTGTAAACACACAGCAAAAAGAGGTTAGTGTGGCGAACAGGGTAGGTTGTCTCTATACAGGTACGAGTGAGAGTCATGCCAGGATGTAAAAAACCAACCTTGGAGATGAAGGAGTTCTTAATAGTATTCTTATCTGTGGGGAGAAAACTGGAGGAAATGCAGTGGCTTTTTCTTTTCTTTTTTTAAAGAGCAAATCTTGTTGGTCCCTATATAGCAGTGTTTCTTAACCTTGGCAACTTTTCGATGTGTGGACTTCAACTCCCAAAATTCTCCAGCTAGCAGTGCTAGCTGGAGAATTCTGGGAATTGAAGTCCACACATCGTAAAGTTGCCAAGGTTGAGAAACACTGCTATATAGGATTTTGATCTATTCTGTGGCAAAACACTTTTGCTAATCTTTTAACCCAAGAGGTTCCTTCTCACCTGTTAATGCCGTATCTGTTTGGAGACTCCCACATATTGTAGTGACATAATCTCTCCTCCCTTCTCTCCTCTCCTTCACAGATGTGAAAAACCAAGGCGGTGAGCAGCAGGGGAAGAAAGGGAGTGCGGGAGCAGCCTTGGTTCTGGAGCCTGACATCTCACCTGGTCAGAAATTGAAAACAAACACTAATTCAAATGAACACTAAAAATGAAGGATCAGCAGCGCACAGCACTTTTGAGTATGGACGATAGACTCTGGAAGGAACATTCCCTGAGGACCCGCGCAGGATTCACCTTTCGGTTTTGAACTGGTTTTACAGAAAAACTTTCCTTCTCATGCTGCTAAGATATAGAGCCAGGGAGAGTGGAGTGATATATGTTTGGGACTCCCCATACACATGAAGTATATGTATATGTATATAAATATGTATGTGTATATGTATATATACTGAATTTCTAAAACATTGCTAACATTATTGGTGTCTTCACTGGATATACTCAACTGCTGTGGACACAAGTGGGCTGTTTGGGACATAAGAAAGAAACTACGACTGGACTCCAGTCAACACTGCTCAATATATTCTTCATACTCTGTCTGACCCTCTAAAGCCTGCTGGTCTCATTTCCTCTCCCCACTCTCCTGCCCCAGTCCCGTGCGGTGAAACATTTATGCGAAAAAAGAGATGGCAGGGGATTCTCAAAATGGCACCTTGGAATACTGTGGGTCAAAAGGTCAAGGAAATAACTCTTAAATGCTGGAATCAATGAATCAATCAAATTCTCTTCTTCTTGAAAATCTCTTCTGAATCTGGCTCACAATCTGCTGGCTTCGCTGAGGCGTTGGTGTATATTTTTGTATTGACTTGCTGCAGGAACATTTTGCCACAGATAACGTGTTTTGGCCTTAATGATGGGAAATGGCTGACGTTTGGACTTGTCAGCTCAAGGAGGCATCCCTGGAAACCTGCCATCCCTGTTGGCCCTTAAATAATGGATGTTATATTGGCAGAAGGAGACAGAGGAAAGAAGGGGGGAGTAACAGAGAGCCGGGCAGTTGAACCAGCACTGTCAACTATCATTATGCACAGAGCTGCCACTGAAGATACTTCTGGAACTTCTCTGGAAAGGGATATTAATCTAAAGTATATATGCGCAATAGACAGGACGTGTGAGTGTGTGTGAGTGAGGGGGTATTTACATACAACTGTATAGGGGTTTTTTTGTGCCTAATAAGTTTAAAATTGGCTTGTTACATTTTGGGCCTTTGAGGGAAAAGCTGGGGAGAGCTTACTCTTTTAGCATTGTAAATTTATTATTCTCAGTCTTGTATCATGAATTATATTAAGACACAGTGTTCTTTGCTGGACTTGTGATGTAGGACTTATTCCACCACAAAAAAAAAAAAAATAGCATAGAGTCTCCCCACTGTCAATAATATCTGGTTAATTTGGCCCATACATCCAGATATGACTTGCATGAAGGGTCAGTGGGGGTCTACACTGAATTCCAGAGTTACTCTGCTCCCCGTGTTGACAGAAGAACTTCTGAATTAAAGAGGGACCTTGTGTTGCATTCTAAAGCAACCCTCATGACTTCCTCACTTAAGATTCTACAATTAAGTTACAGATAATATGGGGAATGGGAGGAGCAGAGTGATTTTGGGGCAGTTCTAAAGGTGTTGTCCAGTTATTCACTGCATGAGCTGAAATAATATTAAATAACACTGCTATGAAAAAGATTTAAGAAGGAAGACAAAACCACCATACTTCCTTCTGTCCTTAAAGTTGTACCTATTCCCAAATTAGGCAATTCACCTTGACTTTTTGACCTTTACTTTTGAAGTGCCCATTGTAGACATTATAAAGTGTGATTGTTTTACCCAGTTTCCCCATTGACCTATACAGACCAGCAATGTAGGCTTTTGGTTAGCCTCCCTCGATCCAAGCCCTTCTGTAGCTATTAAACTTCAGAGCCAATATTCTGAATCAGCAAGGCAAATAGGTTGAGAAAAGTGGGAATTGCTGTTGAATAGTTCTGGAAGGTAGCAGATTGGGGAAGGCTATCAAGCTTTTTCTGTTAAGTTTCTTGAATGGTTGATTGCTGTGTTATTCTGGTAACAGTTTGGGACCTAGTTGAATAGCCTTAAGTGCTTCTATGCAAAAAGATTTAAGTTCAGGTGCACACAGAATTGATCTAAGTCCCAGGGTTAATAGCATTTTAACATGCTTGGATTTTGATTCATCATCAAAAATCTAAGCCAGTGTAAATCTGATGAAAGGGGGAGAAATGATGGTTTTCTTTTTTGCATATACCGTACTTTCCGGCGTATAAGGCGACCTGGCGTATAAGACGACCCCTGACTTCGGCACCGATTTCCATGCCTAGAAAGTCGTCTTATCTGCCGTAAACTACCGTAATTTCCAGCATATAAGATGACTTGGCGTATAAGATGACCCCTGACTTCGGCGCCGATTTCCGCGCTTTAGAAAGTCGTCTTATACGCTGGAAAATACGGTAGATCCAAAATAAGTGTTTTTATAACTGTTTGTAACCAAGGCAGTATATATGTAACTTTCCAAGACAGTAGACAAAGCTCTGATACCAGGCAATTGGCAAGATTCCATTTAACTCTGGTTTGAAAATGTCCTTTGAACAATGCTTCTCAAATTGGCAACTTTTAAATATGTGGACTTTTAACTTCCAGAATTCCTCAGCCATGGGGGAGTGTGGCAGTTGAAGTCATGCAACTTAAAGTTGTCAGGATTGAGAAACTCTGCCTTAGAATATGGGACTTGGATCAGCCAATCTGATTTGTTGAGATTCAGTTTTAGCAATCAATAATTGTTCTTGGGGAATCAAGCTATAATTCTCAGTGCCTTGCATATAAACACTTGAAACACCAAAGCATCTCCCAGGTCAACAGGCATTTAATAGGTATTTGGACAGTAGATGATAGGGCGGATTTTTTAAAGGCATCTATGGATGTCTGAAGTGATTTGACTTGTCCAAAGATTACATGGCTTCATCTTGCTTTGCTGGGAAATGCAAAATGATACCAGTTGGACAACCTCTGAGAACCATTCTCAGTTAAACTTTCTGCATTCCCAGATCAAATACAATAGGAGCATTGAGGCTGCTGGATGCCACTGAATCTGCAAGGACAGGATTCCCATTTTTCTTCCTACATGGAACTTTGTTGGGCTATCACCAGGCAGCATGCCATACAGCTACTTTAAGTCCAGATCAGCATTGCTGCCATGGGAAGGCTATTGCTGTATGGTGTATATGTGATGCTTCTGTAAGTTTCTGGTTGCTATGAAGTTAGTGAATCAACTCTGAAGAGAATGACTCTGTATATGTTTGAGAGGTGTATGGGACAGAATCCCAGCATCTCCTTTCCCTACCAGTACGAGATCCTCCTTGCCCTTCTCCTTCCCCATCTTTCCCTTCCTATCCCTCTCTTAAGACATGTAATGTTGTCTGGCCATCTGTTTGGCATTGTCAGAACATTTATCAATCCATTATTGGAGACTGATTGCATAGCTGCGTCTGCAAATGTAGAGCATTAATCTGGGTACCTGGAAAGTTGCGTCTCATTGCCTTCATTGGACTGGAATGTGTGCCTGCTTCTCAGTCTCTGGTTTTTTTTTGGGGGGGGGGGTACTATACTTGGTCCATGTCAGAATCCTGCCAAATGCTTCTCTGTTTACAGAAAAGCAAGAAAAACCGGCCTTAAATCAGCTTTTGATGAGTGTTTATTAACCACTATAAAATCCCCCTCTAGCTGATAGAAATATGGTATGCATTCAGTTTGTATGTGTGTGTGTCTGTGTGGGGATGTGTGTGCGTGTGCACACATGTATAACTGAAATGTACATATTCATGCTGTGTGAGGTGACGTTCTATATACTTGTTTAATATCCCTTTAAAATTAGAAATTAAAAAGTAATAATAATTTAAATTAGGTATTTTTCAGTATTCTTTGTTTAATATTTAATTTTACTATTTATAAGTTGTACCTCTTTTTTTGTACTGTTATGTATAAATTTTTAACTCTTCTGTTTCAACCAATCTTCCCCAATTGTTGAGAAAGTGAATAGCATGATCAGTTATTTAATTAATATCTTAACACTCATCCCTACACATTCCTTTTCCGCAAAGTTTATACATCTACATATATGTATATATGTATATGTATATATATGTACATATATATATATATATATATATATATATATATATATATATATATGTTTATGTATATGTGTGATTAATTAGACACTACATTTTTTATATATGTAAACTTTTCTTCTGCCCCAGATTATAGAAAATTTAACTATCATTTTATTTATTGGTGCTACTGTTTTTCTATACTGTGGCTAGAAAAAAATCAGTAGCCACACTGGCTAATCTCAAGATTCCATAAAAAATATTTATTTTTAGACAAAAATATCTTTAAAAAAACACCATCTATGTTTTTTTTTGTTTTTTTTCCTTTTTTGTAATAAAGAATTTAATTCACACTTGTTTTCTTTTTTTTCTCCTCCCCTCTCCACTTTGCATGAATTTTTCTGTTTGACGTTTTTGTTTTGCTAATTTGCTGCAAGGGTGGAAAAAAGCTCAAACACGCTTAGGAACCATCAGAATATATTACCAGAAAGGAGGATATTCTTAATGCAAGTTGAAACAGGTTGTTCCCTGCAACCCCTTTAAGAAAAAAAGCAACTTCTCTTATTATATCATAGAGAACGTACTGTATAGATGTAACTTGCTATAACACCATGTCTTCTATGCAGAATGTACATTCATTTGAGTGAGTAGTATCAGTTTCAACAGGCATTCTCACTGGGCACTCGAAAGCCCTACAACTAAATTAACTGATGACTTTCATAAAGCAGTGTCTTTGGTTTAATCATGCGGAAATGCATCTCCCTGTTATCATACCTGCATTTGGACTCCTAATCTGCACTTGAGATTTGAAGTGCTTGTAGAACAGAGTTGGCTGGAGGGTGCTGGAATGCCGAGGGAACCAAAAGTCTTCTCTCAGGAGTAGATTCATTGGTACAAGGTTGGACCTTCCATAAGATGCACACCGAAGCTGCAAATGGAAAGGGGTTTTTTTTCCCCATAAAAGGAATATAATTATTTCTAGGCAGGAATGGCTTTTCAAAACTCATAGAGGAAAACAGATATCAATTTAAAAAGAAAGTGCATGTCCTTTCATAAGGCAATTGCTTCATGACATAAAATAATTCTAGATAGGATTTCTTTAGCTGTATGATGACTGGGAACTGTTTTCTGTGGCTTCGCAAGATGAAAAATATTGTGCCCCTCTCCTCCCTGTCAGTCTAAGGGTTGTATATCGAGCTGCCCAGAATCACTTTGGATAGCAAATAGATGATAGATAGATAGATAGATAGATAGATAGATAGATAGATAGATAGATAGATAGATAGATAGAGGTCTTCTGGGAATTGATGCACATGTTGGTTATATGTGCTTAGAATCTGATCCCAAGGTGGCTTCTTGATCATGTGTGGACAAATACCGGTTTTACCAGGAATAGCTTATCAAGTCACAGGTCATAGTCACCCATTCAACTGTTTTGCCTCAACAAATTAGAAATTAGAAAGGAACCCAGTGGAGGGACTTAAGCATACAGGAACTGTGTTCATCTGAAAGCTCTGAACCTACAATGCATCTGGTAAAAAACATAAGTCTTGGGTGGAATGTGGCTGTCCCCATATTACAGAATTATAGTTCTCAGCATCTCTCACTATTGGTCAGGCTGACCAAGAATGTTGGAAATAGCCATACTGCAATGACTAGAGTGAACACTGACACAAATCAGGCAAGCTTCTGTGCATGTTGAATTATCATGTTATTCTGAAACTAAGATTTAATGACCAGAGTTTGAAATAGCTTTTTCCAGCAGAAAATAGAAATGATGAGAGCTGCGAGGGTTTTGCCTGTGATGGAAGTAAAAGTTGGACATTTGGAGAAGCAGAATAGAAAAAATATTGATGTTTTGAAGTTTGAAATTGAAATAGACTCCTGAAAATACTATGGATGATCAAGTAAAAGAACAAATGAACCAGCAAACAAATTAAGTCAGAGTTATTACTTGAAGCAGAAACAATCAGGCTCATATTATAATTTGGATGTTATTTGAAGAATACTGTTGGGAAACGTGGCAAGAAAGAGACAAAGAGCTAAACAGCAAGATGGGTGGACTCAGTTACAAGGACAATGGGTGCAACCATTGGAAGACTTGAAGGATGAGGCTGAGGACAAATCCATTGGGAGAAAATCTTTGTGATTGCTAAGAGTTGATATCAACTTGATCATACAATTAATCAATCAAAGTTTTCTTGTGCTGCAAGTGGTTGATAAAAGTGAGCATCACAGTTGCAATCAGACTTCTTGCAGTTATGCTGATAGAAGAAGAGCAACGTTACAAACTCTAGGAGATGGAGATGAAAAGGCAGCCATCACACTTTTGATTTAAGTTCAGAATGATGTATTAAAACACCCAGATCTCTTATATATATAAAAATTGCTGAACTAGGTTTTCCTCATTCTGTATGTACTGTATGCCTTTCATTCTTTCTTCTCCCCTTGCAGGATTTTACATTTGTTGTTAAACTTCATACAGTTTGTTTTAGCCCAGTATTCAAACATGTCTAGCTGATTTTGATTTTTTCTCTTTCTATTCTACCATGTTAGTTCCTTCTCCTCATTCTCTGTTATCTGAGAATTTGATAATTATCCCTTCAACTCTTTCATCCAGGGCTTGCAAACATGCTGTTAATAATCTGCCTGAAGTCCTTGGCTATCATAAATTTCAGTTTGAGGTGTCTATAAATTTTGGTTCTTCCTTCTTTCCCTTTTTTTGAAGACAGGGATAGAATTTTATGTCCATCCATTTAAATACGATCTATTTAAAAGATCTGTATGACTTCCTCTCTTTAAAAATACAACTGGCCAGTTTGCAACAACAGTTCTGTGTATACTATTCTAATAGTAGTAGTTTTAACCATTCAGTCGTGTATGACTCTTGGTGACTTTATAGGCAAGTGCTCTCCATATTACCCTGTCAAGCATAGTTTCTTTCAGTTGTTGGATGTTCATCTGTATCAGCTCTGATAGTATCAAACCAGTGAGTTTTTTGCTTGTACCTTCTTCTTGATCCACTAACCATTCCTAGCATTACCAATTTCTCCAATGAATTTGCATTCATGACATGGCCAAAGTAAATCAGATGTAGTCTTGTGATTCTGACTTCTAGTAGTGATGTTTCTGGTTTCATATGATTCAGTGTTTCTCTGTTGGTTGCTCTGGCTGTCCATGGTGTACGGAATAATTTACACAAGTCCATATTTCAAAGGCACCAATTCTTTTCAGCCCTTCTTAGTGTCTAACTCTTACACTCATACATCATTATAGGGAAGATTATTGCTTTAACTAGAGTGCTTTTTGTATTTATATCAACATCTCTGTTTTTCCAGATCTTATTCATGTTGATCATTTGGCACTGTGGCTTAAGATTATTCTGCATTTGAATGCAGAACAATTTTTGATCCAAGGAAGATAAATTATTGAACTAATTCAATTTCCTCCTTCTTGCTTATAAACACCTCATATCTTTCTGCAGCTGTTGTCATTATCTTTGTTTTCCTGAAACTTAGACTCAGTCCTATTTTTCACTTTACTCTAGTCTCTTTATATCATTCTAAATATGATTTCAGCCCATTGGATCTGGTGGCCTCCCATCCAATTTCATCCAAACTCAGTCTTCCAAATTCCAAAATACAAATCTGACTCTTCTCTATTCCTCTTTGTCTTGATATTATGAACTCAAGTATAACATGATAACTTTTTTCCAAGGTTCACTTCTTCAACACATTCCTCCCTATTGGTAAGAATTAAATACAAGATAGCAGACTCCCCTTGTTATTTCTTCTACTTTCTGACAAATGAAGTTGTCACCAACTTAGGGCAGGAATTTGTTAGACCTCTGACTGCAGTTAGGTTTCCAGATAGTGTCAGAGTAGTTAAAATCTCCCATTGTCATTATTTGCATATACCCTTAAAAAACTTCGTGATCTGATGTAGATGTATTTGTTCCATCTATAATTTCTACTTGTCCAGACAGTCTACTATAATCTTTACAGTGATATCACTTGTTACTTTTATTCTTATATTTCATGCTCAGTTCATGAATTTCTGTCAAAACCTCTCTTATGTCATAGCTACTCCTATTAAATAAATTATAGAATTTATTTAATTTATTTAATTCTAGGGCTGTGTTCTAATAATGTGTAATAAACTTTCATTTATGACTGTAACATTATATTAGTCTATCATTGTTAAGATTTCAAATTCTCCCTGCTTGTTTTTGCTATTGTACTTTCTTGCAAATCTCTAAACTGCCTTCCATTTTCATGCTTTTCTCTTTGTCTGCTGCACTGCCAACTTCAGTCCTTGATGGTGTATTTGGTTCTTGGCTTTTACCGTCCTCCCCCTTTGGCTCAAGTTTAACAAAGTTGACAAGATTGGGAAAGTTCCTGTCAAACAGTCTGCATGTGAGGTAACTTATCTTTTGTCAGGAGTCCTTTATGCAGTCCATGTTAGAGAAACCCAAAACTGTCTTTGTGGTACCATAAATATTCAGTTCTTCATTTTCTTATATTGTCACTCTCAGTTGATTAAAGCAATTTGTACTCTCAGTTTCTATATTTTCCCACCCATGGCTTCATAATCGAACAACTAGTTTAAATCTCATCCAGCAGTGTCAATCATTTCCATATGAATCAATAGGAAGGGACAATAAGTGGTGATTTGAAGGGGTAGTGTGTCATCACATCTGGTATGGGCACCTAGTCTCCCACACTATATGTCAGGTCCGAAAATGGTGGCCTCAGCTTCTCTCATTAGGGAAATGCCCACAACATGTCTTTTCCTTCCCAGGACGGCTTTTTGGTTTCTTTGACCAAGGGGATTTTGTGTGTTTTTTCTCTCGTTCCATGACGCCTGATCCCTGTTGCTGAGCTGCACTGGCACCGAGTACATCTGATCCTTTGGCTTTTCTGAGTTACATGTTTCCATGTGTCTTCTTTCCACTTGCCTTTGTAATTTTGATAAGCTTCACCTGTCCTATTCAGAAATATCTCACCTCCCTTGGTGTGTTGCCGTGTAAAAATTCTTTCTTTGACCCATTTTATTTTTTCCTCCAGTAAGAATATTTTTTTTTTCTTCTGTTCAATCTTATCCAGTTTTCAGGAATTGCCTGCATGGACACATCTCTGTAGTTTTCTTGGCAAGGTTTCTTGGAAGTGGTTTCCCATTTATTTTTATATATTTATTAAATTTTTATACTGCCCATCTCCCCTATAAGATGACTCTGGGTGGCTTACAAATTATGGCATTTTCCTAGGGCTGAGAGAAAATGATTGGCTCAAGGTCACCCAGCTGACTTTGTGCCTAAGGCAGGATTTGATGCCTTAACTGCCATACCAAACTT